TTGATGAAGTAGCACCAACTTGTTTCTTACTTCATTACGGAATCCAATGAGGGTGGGTGCGAGATGAATTGCCCAGCCTCGTCGCTGACTTCGTGGCTCCAATCACGAGGATTGGACCGGTTGGCGAGTACGGGCCATGTAGAATTGTTAATATGAGCTCCTACCAAGGCTTATAGATGCAATCAAGCGGAGATGTAAGGCGAGCACAGCATCACCACATCAGAACCAGAGTCCGAGATGACTACACCAACTTACTAACCTACGTTGCGTTAAATCTCAAAATGAGTCTGTTAGTTTCACCGATCAATGTTGGTCAGGAGAGGAAAGAATCGCCAAGGATTCAAACCATCATGATTTGCATTAGCTTGACGGGACGGCTCGCATATTGATACCTGTCTGCAAAGATTAGAGCCAACGCGCAAATTCGGTCATAGCTTGTACCGGTGTTGGTTTGAGTCATGGCTTGGCTGTTGGGCTCATGACCATTTTAACTCAAACTTCACAACAACCTGTGCTATGCCGATATTGCTTTCTCATGACCACTTGATAGGTTTTGTGATCTGATATGAAGGCTAGTGAGTGCAAGGTGGCAATTCGCTTCACCGAGGATAACGCCGTCACAAATGAGCTAACTAGCAAAACCCCAGCTGACTAGTCATCTGAAGTGGTATATATGCTATGTGACAAACTTTCAGGATCGACTGAGGGCAAAAGTTTGACGACCGTCTGCGTTGATGACCAATACGTCGATTTATGTGAGATTTGGAGGCGACGAAAAGATGCTGGTGCTGCGGCTCGGCCGGCTTGAAACGATCGGTCGTCAACTTGATATGACTATTTCTCATGTATGTTTTTCTGCATCTTGTTGATGCTGTCTTATCTATGTTGTCTTCCATAGCTCCTTTTAATAAGCTTACATCAGGACTATTAATTTACTTGATAAGGGTTCTGTTCGTCGTCTATCTTCGTCCTTTTATGTAATTATACTAGACTCAATGCCATGCGATCGTTGATCGGCAAGCAATTGAGCGACACGCCATAGCCTAATGACCACAGACTGTGGAAAGGTAACTGGGTTGCAAAGATTGCCATGTTCGAGTCTCACCATATCTAACGGGTTTCAGGTATGCATAGCTTACGAGCGTGTGCGTTGCCAAATGCGTGATGGGACACGCATTGAAATGCTGATGAACGCAAACAAAGAAAAAACTTTACAGTTGAAAGGCGCGATGATAAGTTCAAGGACCAGACAAGCCCCAACATCGACGCATCATGGTTACTCCGTAACATCAACTCCGATTGATTGCGCGTTGGTGCTGTCGCGGCGAAAGATGATGACGTTAATCCCGATGCAGTAGGTCCTTTCAACGCGTGCCCTCGCTAAAGACTAGGGCATCCCGTTTAGGGCTTATCAGCGACTCCATCCCCCCTGAAGCTCATGTCATCATGGAGGAGATTGCGTGGTGTGTTAGGCAACCCTCCAGGCCGCCTTCGGCATTGAGCTCGTTGATCTGCAGGTTCGCTCAATTTCAACTCCGAGCTTTCGTACGAGAGCCGGACATAACCTCAACCACAACGCCATCGCATTTTCATCAACCTTCATCAGAGCAAGCACCGTCTTTATTGCCTGTCATGTTGCGCGACTACATTCTCACGCTGCTGTTGTGTACCTCGCACCTTGTCGAAGGCTACAAACAACGACCCATCTTTGCGCCATCGCCTCTAGTGGATTTAGAGGCCAATGACCCAGCGCTTGTCAGTAACGAAGCAATCATTGCCGCCCTTCAGGCATATGATGACCCAGTGGAAGCTCTCATTGCCCTTCGGCCTGATGCTGCAGCCGAAATGGCCCAGCCACGGCTCTTACACTTGATGGGCCAAAAGGAGCCGGAATGGCTCACAGAAGGGGATAAGCTCCGCTTACGCAAAAAGGGCAAGAAATTCATGGACATCACGGATCATTCCGACTTCTACAACCAACAAACGGAAACACTGGTTTCTGGCAAGGCTAGTAAGCAAAAATCCCAGACTGCCACCTCGACTAGAAGCTGTGGACGCTCACCCAGTGAAACCAGAACTGCCTGACCTGAAACACCAGCGCCTTGTCAAACCGCTCTTTGCTCATGTGTCCACTGAGAGGATGCATAGTGTATTAAAGCACATGACAAGCTACTATAATAGATATTACGGAGACACTTATGGCGAGAGAAGCTCCGAATGGCTTCACGATCACATTGCACAGGTATTTACGCCTGTTCGGAAAGGCATTTCGATGATATGATGCAAACTGACATAGATCATATCACAGATAATCAATGACTCCCCTTTCCGTACTCATATCTCACTTGAATATTTCACCCATTCATTTCCACAGTCATCCATTATCGCACGTTTTGAGCCTAAGGTGCGGAACTTCTCCCAGCCCTTGACTATCCTCGGTGCCCATCAGGATTCAGCGAATTATTTGTTCCCGCTTCTCCCTGCGCCGGGGGCGGATGATGATTGCTCTGGGACCGTGAGCATTTTAGAGGCGTTTCGAATCCTGGCGGAGAACGGATATACACCGAAAGATGGCCCGGTCGAGTTTCATTGGTATGCTGCTGAAGAAGGGGGGCTACTGGGAAGCCAAGCTATTGCGAGGTATAAGAAGGACCAAAATGCCCCTATTGGTGCAATGATGGAATTTGTGAGAAAGTCCTAATTTTGACCCAAATTCGGGTTCTGACTGGATATTTAGGACATGACTGCATTCGTTGCCCGAAATGCCACTGAGTCCATTGGATTCGTCTCTACTCAAGCAGACGAAGCACTTACCAACTGGACAGTGAAGCTAGGAGAAGAGTACATCTCTATTCCTACAAAAATCTATCAGCTCGCTGCGTACGTCTAACCCCAATTGTTCTACCTGGTCGTGTTAGGTTCTTTTTTGACCAACACGCGATAGCAATGCCGGATCCGATTACATGTCTTTCACCCAGCTAAACTACCCTGCCGCGTTTGCGACAGAGGGCGATCCTCTCGCAGGTGGCTTCCCCGGAGATATGGATCCATATGTGCACGGTGTGAATGATACGATGGATGTTGATGACGAGAAAGGATACTTCTCTATTGATGTGAGATTCAACCTTCCGTATTCTCAGACTTTACTAATTTGGCTTGCAGCATATGGCACGATTCACAGAACTAGCACTTGCTTTTGCTGTTGAGCAGGGTGGCTGGGATAACACATGGCGATAACGGCTCATACTATCTGTAGACCATTTATCGAGGATATCGCATTAAGTAGGACAGTGCCTGGGACAGCTTGTTACCGTCACAGCTTCATCGTATGCATCAGTCATTTTCAAAGGATTGATGCTATTAATCTGGTTAGGCTTAAACTCTTCACCTCAGAGTATTGATACCTTATCAACTTTTCAAATCCGAGTCATTGTAGCAAAGCTCGAAATTGAGCGTAATCGACAGCTGAAGTACTGTGATTCGGTTGACATAGCATCCGCGTTCATCATGTGTGATAATATCGATGCATCTCCAAGCTATGACTAGATGTTCAAACAGTCCCATCCACGGACTTAAGAGCCTCGGCGGGTTTCGTGGTCGTTTTCGTTCTAACGTCTTTCCATCCCATCCCAAGGGAGAACGTGAAGCTAACCACCGTCAAAGCCACCAGAAAATAAAATACCTTATGTGAAAGAAGTCACTTCCAGTTAAAATTGGGAAAGAGGATTTTGATGCACTACAAAATGTGACAAAGAACAGGTGTCGACTATTGTCTAATGAGGCATGCCGGCAAGGATTCTGAACACCTAGGGTGCGGCGTGACCAATTTATGCCGTAACTTAATTGGCACTCTACTGGGGTACTCGTTTGGACGCGTTGTTTGTCCGAAGCTCGGTTCTTAACACTGCGCTTCAGCGGCGTAAGTCGAAATGCAATTTGCTCCAGTTCTTTCAGTTCAAAGGTCATAAACCAACGGCCCATCTGTAGGACGGGCTCGCGCCGCCGGACCTGTAACGCAATCGCCAAGGCAAAAAGCCGCATGTTTTCAAGGCGGTACAGGTCTTGCACCTTGGCTTTTGACACACTGAAGCAATACACGAGTGTCTCAAAGGATATAGAGTTTGTAGTCCGAATACTGTATCATTTTCATTCAGGCATCGATCTCCTGTGTGCCTTGCAGCGCGTGCTTCGCTAGATGCCTTTTCCGTTTCATTGTTAGTAGCTAGCGGTTGGCTCACAGCCTATGGCCTCTAGAGTTGACTAGTGAACGGCGCAAAACAAGGCCTGTGTTTCCTATAATGCTTTGCACAAAGACACCTAGATTACACGGTGCGGCATTTGAGTGAGTGTCTTCAGGTAATCCAAACCGCACAAGACCAGCAATTCAATAGTAAACAAGTCACAAAACCCCATCTGTAACTTCTCCTCGCCGCTTACACACTCAATGGGATTGAGTTAGAGTTGTAGAAGACTTGAAGATTTGCAGATTTCAATTTCAAGGTGCAGTCCTACTAGCTCTACCATGCCTTGGTGCTATAAGCGATTCAATCTTTCGTCTCTGTCATCAATTCTTGGTTGGGCGAGTTCAAAAAATATCTCTATACATACACGGTTTCATACCGATAGTTCCATCCGGCTATAAGGCAGAGTACATAGAACTGTGCCTTTGTCTCAGCACCTCTAGCGATAGATATAGTTGCCTCCGCTAGCCCCACGTGGGCAAAAGTGACGAGCTGGTGACTATAAGCCATTTCATTACATTACATGTTTCAAGAGAGGATCAGCTCGACATCAAAAAAACATAGCGTCCTCAGACTTTAATAGGCACCAGTATTCTGTCTCATGTTCAGGCATCCACGGTTCACTCGCCAGATATAAAACAAGCGCCAAAATACCCCAATCAGAATCACCAATGCATGTAATCACACAAGTAACTCTCTGTTCACATTCCATGAAAGAAAACTCCCTACAAATTATTGAGATTCGCTATCTTATAAATCATGGAGAAATCTCCCTTGAACAGGTTCCCGTGGGAATCTGATGTGCCTCAGGGCGCATTCTGGGACAGCCTCTCCAATGATAACTTGGGACGCCAATTTCTTCGCGTGTTCAGTGCTGACGAGACAATTGCTCTGAGTCTTGATAACATGGCTCATCTTGACAAAGTCGCCAAGCTTCAACTACTCGAGTCCTTGATTCTTGATAGAATGAGGAACAAGCCACTTCCTCATGTCCCAGAGTCTCTGAGCTCCAATGACTTCTACAATATATGGCATCGTCGCGAATTTTTACTTGCTCATGTGCAGCGAGAGCAAGGAGCTACGAAGATGGTTGAGGCAGAGCAGCGATATCGCACGATGATTGACATATGGGGCAAACGGAACGATCCTGACAAGAAATGGCCTCAGGACCTTGGCTCCATCGACAATTTGTTCATTATTCTAGCTCAGCAAAATCGGTTTTCTGAGGCAGAGCTGCTAGCCAAGGAGCTAATAGGATTGATTCGTCAATGCCCCGACCTTGGCTATGGATCTCCAATGAATATCGGAATCATGCTGAAGTTGATGGATATCTTCGGGAAGCAGGGCAAATACGACGAGGCTCTTGCTCTGAATGCCGAGGGTTATGCGGCAATAGACATCATGGCCAAAGGAATGTTTGCGAAGTACGTTGATACCCAGCGGAAGTCACTCGATCAGATGAAAAGGGCTTTGGAGGAGCATAGATCGTGGGAGTCGGGCTATCTTATAATCCGCTAATCAAACGTGGTATTATGCTGGTCAATGGGGGAGGTATCTCCTACGGAGCAAACCCTGGAGAGCTGACTTACCACCAACGGCTGGTGCGCGCATACCATTAAACTGGCGATGAGGCTTCTTAATATCGTTTCTCAGCTCTTATAGTTCCTGTCAATTCTCGCCAATAGTTCGATCGTACTTCGCCTTAACCAGCTGTTATGCTGCTCTTACTCTTTCCTAGTCAGCGTTATGCTCTTCCCTTATTTTCTTTCTACGTCCTCGGGTCATCGGTGCCGCGAATGGCAAGAGGCTCTGACGTTCCGGTTCTCGGGTGCTTTCCGCGCAGAGCAGTCATGGTAGTGAGCCGGCTGCCGGCGCTCTTCAGCCAGAACCTCAAGGCGACATTCTTCTTGGCACTGAAGTCATCAAACCTCACTACACATGCGGCTAGATTATGCACCTAAGTCGAACGATGCTTGTCCCAAGCACTCGGTTGTTATGAGTTGCCAGTATTTGGCGTGATACGCGGGCGATGACGTGCTCTCGAGTTGGCGACCTAGGAACATTTCATTCGTTGAATGGTGGTTTGTCTATCATGAAGGCTGATGGCGTTATATATTCTGGCAAGAAAAAGATCACGAATCACAGGTGGTACCGTTCCGGCACCGAGTGGCGCTAGCCGACTAGAGCTGTTTCCGGGCTTATCGCCGGTCCTGATTTGACTTGCGTGCTTGCCAATAGCGCCAGATGCCAGGTATCTGGAGGACACCGGCACAGAAACAGTTCACTAGGTTGCTATGTGATTGACAATGCTTTATGTAGCCCCTATATGAGTCCTTTGACAAGAGGTGAAATAGAAGAGGGGTTTGCAGGTATTTCTGTGGTATAAAATAGCTGGACCCGACCCTGTCAACCCCCTCCGCCCGTTTTAGATACAACGCAACAATTTCGTGATACTTATAGGTCAACTTTATTAATACTATAGAAGGCTGATTAGAAAATCATGGCGCCATCTGCAGTCGAAACAATCGTCGAGCCGTCGACAATAACGGATGTCACCAAGTTGAAATTACATTCGACCCTAAACAATGCAAACGCCGCTGCGAACAGGGCGGCTCGGGGTCTCTTTGCGCCTAATTATGACGCTGAGGCTGAGGCAGGTAAAAAAGACCACCCAGCTGCAAAGGTAAGAATGGCAAAGAATCTATTCATCCTCCGTCATGCTTTCGGCCTAATTGTTCTTTTGACTAAATACCAGTACTGTAGTACCCCCACTACCTGCCAACTTGGAATCCGGATCAAAAATATCCGCCACTTGAACCATTTGAGCACTACGATCACGGAAAGGATGCTGATCCAACATATCCTGACTTGCTTCCTAAGGACCAGGTTACCGTCACACAGCTCACTCCTACGATTGGTACAGAAGTCCGAGGTGTTCAGTTGAGCAAGTTGAACAACGCGGGCAAGGATCAACTAGCTCGTTTGGTTGCCGAACGCAAGGTCGTTGCGTTTCGAGATCAGGATTTAGCTGATTTGTCGATCCAAGAAGCTCTGGACTTTGGCGGCTATTTCGGCCGGCACCATATCCATCCAACCTCGGGTTCACCCGAGGGGTATCCAGAAATACACCTGGTACACCGCGGAGCTGGAGATCATGCCATTGATAACTTCTTTGCACTCAGAACTACTACTGTGAGCTGGCATTCGGACGTCACATACGAAGCCCAGCCTCCCGGCACTACGTTCCTATATATATTCGACACGCCTGAGACTGGCGGAGATACACTATTCGTTGATGCTACCGAAGCTTACAGACGTCTTAGTCCTGCTCTTCAAGAGCGACTCCACGGACTAGAAGCAATTCACTCGGGTATTGAGCAGGCAAATTTCTCGCGGGGAAGAAACGGAGTTGTACGGCGTGAGCCTGTATACAATGCACATCCAATCATTCGTACACACCCTGTGACAGGTGAGAAAGCTATTTTTGTGAATCCTGGCTGTAAGTTCCTCGAGAAAGATGCTTTCATATGCGCTATCAAAATAACTAATCGCTATATTATAGTCGTTCGTGAGATTGTAGGCTTCAAAAAAGAGGAATCAGACGCTCTGCTCAAGTTTCTCTACGACCATCTTGCTTACGGAGCTGATTTCCAGGCTAGAGTCAAGTGGCAACCAGGAACTGTTGTTGTTTGGGATAACCGAGTCACTCAACACTCTGCGTTAGTAGATTGGAAGAGCGGAGAGAGAAGACACCTTGCCAGAATTACTCCGCAGGCTGAGCGCCCTTTTGAAACACCTTTCAAGGCTTAGATCGAACCAAGAGAACAGTTCAGCAAAGTTAAATGTACCGATTCAAGTATCTATATCCATATTTGTCACAAGCATGTGCACTCGTAGACATAACTTATAAAAAGTCATCAACTGCTTTCCAGAACTCGTCTGGCTTTTCTATCCAGGGCATATGACCTGCAAAGTCGACCAGAATCAGACTGGCATCATCTATGGCTTGAGCCACTGAATTGGCTGCTGTCAAGCTACACATTGCATCCTCTTTTCCCCAGAGAATTAGAGTTTTCGCAGTGACTTTTCTTCCATCGCCGACATGCGGCAGCCGGTTTGCCGGCTCTCGGTCGAATTTCGACTGTCTGAGAAACGCCCAAACACCCGGAGGCGTGACTTCCGCGTCGATGTGCTTTTGCAACGTCGATACATGGGTTGTGTCGGAGAAGTACCAGGGTAGTATTCTTTCCATCATCTCAGCAAAGCCTGCGTCGTCACTCGGTGGGTTCTGCATCGCTCCAGCAAGTGCTGCTAAAGCTTCACTGTACACGGGGTCATCCTTGCGCTTGGCAGCCCACTGTTGGAAATTGTCATTGGGTGGACTATCGTGAATCTCAGCGTCGATTAATATGAGCTTTCCTACATGCGTAGGGTGCACCTCTGCATATCGAAGAACGATACACGCTCCGTTGGAATGGCCGAGGAGCACGGGAATTATATCCACCCCCAGATGCTTTCGCAAGTGCTCGATGTCCTCCGCCATCATCTTGCTAGACATGGATGTCTCGTCAGAAGGTTTGCTTGTCTGGCCATTTGCTCGTGGCTCGAAATATATCACTGTGTGATTTTGCTCGAGGTGTGGACCAAGTCCGTTCCATAGATACGATCCAGGCATACCCCAGCCAACAGAATGAGCAATTATGAGTGGGCCACTTCCCCCTACGCGGTAGTGGAATCTGACATGATCAGCTTCGAAGAAATGATCACCTGCGCCAAATGCTGGGGTCGCCATTGCTTAAGATGCTGGTAAACAGAATGAAACCTAAAAATATAGTGGTGACAGAATGCTAGATCGGTGTTTTCTCAAATGGCTTGTTCTGCAAAGAATGCGCCTCCCAAAAACTTGACCTGCTTAAAGGCTTGCTTAACGCTTATTCTTGCTGTTCAGGGTTGAGAGACAGCTTATGTATAAACTGGGGTAATGGACGATGTTGTGAGCTAAGATCCCATAAAAGCTTTTTGGCAAGAAATGTCAGACTTATTGATGAATGAGAGGGAATGCGGCTATAAGCAACTTTTCATAGGCTTTTGTGGATGCCTATCAAACTCAGACAACGAGAGCTTTCTTCACATATGTGATTTTGGTGGCGCGTTGTCAGCATCCACCGCAGACTCAAGGACGGGCTTGTTGCCTTTTCGAGAAGTTTAAGATCGGCTTGCTGGACGCTGATTGGCTTTTCATCATCTAGTGCAAGGGGCATCCATGGAATGACGACGAATCCGGTAGCCATGATTACTGGACATTCTAATTTCAGTACCTTAGCTCATGAGTCCTCCTAGCCATATGTATCAAACGTGATGGGCGGGTTGCACCTGTTCATGATGGGGCCTTGGCCTTCTTTGTATTTCGGTGGCAATTTCTTCTACTCATAGCGAAAGGCTTCATTGCATGGTAACAGTACAATCATTGATATCACGTTTTGTGCTCCGTCAAACCCCCAGACTCCATGCTGTCAACCAGAAGCACCGCTGTGCTCTAGATCATCATCATAATGGCTCTTCATTCAATTGACGAGCTGATACGTATACGCAAATGAAAGATGATTTGGGTTTCTAGATCAATTTCTCTCACATGCGTAGGTCTAATTGCTCTAAGCTTTGTCTCGAGGCCGTTCAAGTACATTTTCCGTTGGGCAATAACATTAATATGGAGGCATATTTGAGGAAACGAGAAGCGGTAGATTAACACATCGTGAAGGCTGGCTTCAAAAAGTGGACAATACCTAGTATGGTATTCGATCTGAATGACTCTATACTTACGCATGCACGCACAAAACGCGAGGGACTAAAAGGGGCTATGAGGTTTCGATGAGATGAATGATTAGGAGGTCAATTCAATTTTGCATTTGGAAGTTCAAGCAGACCAATTCAAGAAGTGATCGGTCGGAACGTGATGCGACAAAAAGTATGCGGAGTCCGAAGTCCACTAAGTCCGGCGTATTTCAGATCCACTCAAGTCTCCTGAGCACCAAGAGAATTGCTCTTGCTAGCATTCTTTTGTTTAATTTCCTTCTTGCAAAAACAGCCAAGAGGTAGAACAGACATTTTTACTCAAACTCTTTTCGATGCCATCGGTTTCCATATCAAGCATTGTGGGCTCAGACCACATCTAGGGCTTCTTGAGCTTCAAGATGGACAATCGGCGCGTGGAACTACAACTACTTAATGGGCCCAATGCCGACGAAACAAATATAATGCACAAGGGGAACCGACGACCTGATTTCGAAAACCAGTCAAGCAAGGATGACATTCCAGCGTCGAAGACAATCTACCCACCAATGATCAATCGCTGTATTATTGTGCTAAGCCTTATGCTTGCCACCTTTCTCGTAATGTGCTTTCACCCTCTCAAAAGCGACAGTACCTAATTAAAAATCGTGTAGATTGCTCTCGACATGGTAGGTTGAGCTCTATCACCACGTATTGACGTTCTGTATTCTAACCTTATAAGAGTATAA